CCTTGGCATGCTACAGATCGGCACAACACAGGCGGTTGTGGCGCGGACGATGAATGTTTCTCAGTCTATCATAAGCAGGCTATGGTCCAGATACCGTGATACACAATCTGTACAGGACAGACCACGCTCAGGTCGACCAAGGGCGACAACTCAAGCCCAGGATCGATTTATCCGTACCTTGGCCTTGAGAAATCGTGTCATCACAGCAAATCAGATCAGCGCTCGTCTTCAAACAGACACTGGTGTGAGAGTGAGTGGCCAGACGATTCGGAATCGACTGCATAGGGGTCACCTTCGCGCCCGACGTCCTCGCGTGATCCCTTGTTTGAGAGATCATCACATTCAGGCAAGACGTCGTTGGTGTAGGGATCGTCAACACTGGGATAATCGACGCTGGAGCAATGTGATGTTTTCAGATTAGTTAAGGTTCACTGTTGATTTTTTTTGGACAGACGTAGGAGGGTGTGGCGTCGTCGAAACGAGCGCTTCCAAGACGTTAACGTCATCAGACATGATCGATCTGGGGGTGGTTCTGTTATGGTGTGGGGAGGCATCACTGTTGCTGGAAGAACGGCTTTACATGTTGTTGCAGGGCGTGTTACAGGCCAGTACTACCGGGACAACATCTTGGCAGTCCATGTTGTGCCGTTCGCACGACGTCATGGCCGCCGTTTCATCTTCCAGGATGACAACGCAAGATGTCACAGGGCCAGGATCGTTACAGGTTACCTCCAACAACAGAACATCACCACATTACCTTGGCCAGCACTGAGTCCCGACCTCTCCCCCATCGAGCATGTCTGGGACATGCTTGGACAGAGGTTACGTCAACGTCAACAACGTCCTGCCAATGTCCAAGAACTTGCTGCTGCGTTGCAACAGGAATGGGACAATCTGGACCAAAATGACCTTAGACGTCTCATTAGGAGTATGCCACGTCGGATCAATGCTTGTTTGGCAAACAGAGGAGGATTTACCCGTTACTGACTTGGTTGTGATGCTGTGGTAACTTTGCTGTTTGACCCCGGGTATCATTTTACCCTTATAATGGTCAGTCTGTGCCTTACTTAGTCTAACGATCATTTGGAATAAATCGATGAATGTGAACTTCATTTCATTTTGTCATTTGTTTCTTCGTCAGTTTCATTAGGTGACTTTAATAACACTTAAAAATCAAATATCCCCTACTTTTTTTGAATAGTATATATAAACACATATACTCTTGCACTGAGTGTTATCGTACCGCATGACTAGTCAGAAAATGAGACAAGCCACTGAAGCGTGCACATTCACCATGTCAAGTTCAACTTTCAGTAGCAATGCAAAAGCTCGCTAGGGGCGCCACTGATACTATTTTTATCACTGTCAAAAAATCTGACCACAAAATGTGCAGTTTTTGTTCCGCGACTTCGGGAAGGTGTATGACCACCCACAACGATGACTTTTTACTTTTTGTGAAGAAAATAAAACAGAGTTTGTGTCAAGCGTGGTTTGGACATTCAGAAACGTATTTACAACTGATTTTTTATATTTTGAAAAAATAAAATTATTAGAAAAAGGCAAAAACGATGCTCGTCACTGGATGTTAAAGTATTTTCTCATAAAATGACCCCTTTTCTTGTGTTATATTGACCTATATTTCATTCACCAACCGTTGGAACTAGTGCCAGAACTCGGGAAAACAAATCATGTGCCAGAAAAGAAAAGATAACTCCACCCGATGTGGGTGCAGACCAGTCACTTTCTTGTTATTGTGAACGTGTCCAACCAAATTTCCCTTTTGCTAACAGTGGGCTGGTTCAGGGGCACGATTTTCACGTGCACTTTTTAGGGGTATAAAATCTGGTGCATGGTTTGAATTCTTTCTCTTGTATTGTTACAATATTTTACTGATTCTAATAACACTTTCCTAAAATTAAATTTTTTTAAAAATTATCTCTTGGATTACTTTCTCTTTTCTTGGTGATCAAATGACAGCCATATGGAATCTGTCACAAGAAAATGAAATGGGGTGTAATGTTCTACTCCTACTAAGCTAATGAAGACGACGGGGGGCGTGGATGGGGGGAACACACCATTGCAGTGTGCTATGAGGGGAAACTTTGCCAAAACAGCAGCGCAACAACCTACTCTTATTTCGAATTCCAACTGTCGATGGTTCTTTTATGCGCACACTGGACATCAGTATTTCATTCTATCCGAATGACTATGTTGTCCCCCGTCGTACATCTGGAGGGAGGCTGGTGTGTATAACACAATGAACTTGCTCGGCCAATGCAGGAATTGAACATGGCACATCCAGTTGAGTGAGCCAATTTCCTACCCACTGAGCTAATGTGGCTCCCTGTTGCCAGAAAAGAGAATGGGCTAGATGAGTATGGGATGTCCAGTGCTCCATCCCCAGAATTCAATTTGTATTGCGGATCAGAGAACCTGGCAATGATAAGTTGAATGAACCAGCGGCTGCCAGGCAGGATACGCCCACATTTGAGAGATGAATAGAGAACAAGCTAAAAAGAAAGTGATTTTTCCTACAATCAAGGGCCATAATTCAGGAAATTAAAATTCGATATGCACAAATATCGAAAGAAACCAAGATCTTTGGGTAATAAACTTACATTTCAAGTTTCAACAAAATCGGATAAAAATTGTGACCTCTATACGGTCCACAACCTTGATATACCATATTTTTACGCTATTTGAGAACGAGGGGCGGCCATTTTGCCTGTCAGTTTTGGGCTGATTTTCACAAAATTCGAACTCAGACGTCCTTAGGGTGTAACGGTGATACAATAAAACGTTTTTTTAAAATCGGATAAAAATTATGACCTCCATAAGGTCCACAAGCTAAAAACGTGATTTTTCCTACAATCAAGGGCCATAATTCAGGAAGTTACGGTCCGATATGCGCGAATATCAAAAGGAACCGAGATCTTTGGGTTATAAACTTACATTTCAAGTTTCAACAAAATCAGATAAAAATTGTGACCTCTATAGGGTTCACAAACTAAAAACGCGATTTTTTGTACAATCAGGGGCCATAATCCATGAAGTTTCGATCCGATACATGCCAATGTCGAAAGCAGCCGAGATCTTTTGGGGATAAACCTATATTTCAAGTTTCGTCAAAATGGATAAGAATTGTGACCTGTAGAGAGTCCACAAACAATTGTGGACGTCCGGACGGACTGGGGCGACGGCATAATACGTCCACATGAAAATGTGGGTGTATAAAAACAAGGTTGTACGTACGGATTCGCGGCGCACATTAAAGATCCCTAGAGTAGATACCCACAAATTGAGGAGCAGTGTAGGAAGTTGTTATAAGGATTAATTCTGCTGGCATAAAGCACTACCCGAAATTTGAGGTCCATCATATATGTGAATTCTATCTTAAAAAAAGTCTTCAACACAAATTAACCAAATTTGGGTTTTTTATCCATGTTGCAGACCCCATATCAAAACAAATAAATTATATAGCCCAAATTTAAAAATTCCAATAGGTAGTTAATGGTCGGAGGGATATTTCCTGAAAATTTGATGCTCATATCTTCAATAGTTGCTGAGAAATTGTCTTCGATCACTTTTTTAGCATATTTTAAAAAAAAGTGTATACTGACATCCATCAATTTGGGGTCTTAAATGTGCAATAACTTTTTTACTTCTTAACCGATTTTTAAATTTTGTTTGGTTTCTTAAGGGGGTTGGAATGCTAGTAAATATTCAGTTTTAATAAGATTCAAAATATAAAAAAGCTTTTGCATTGCTACTTTTAGGAGGGAAAACTTTCACTGCATGGGGCCCTAGTTCCTTAAGGACCCTTCTTTTAGCGGACGATGTCCACTGACAGTTCCTATCCGTTCCTATATAGCTGCAATATGAAAATACCGCTCTTCCCCACCTCTGTTCTAAGACTATTTTGGAACCCTTACATGTACCTACTATTTTTCACCTTGATTCTACTTTATTCGCCAAACTTAAAGTGGCTAAGTCTTTAACTCAATATCATCCAAAATCTTCAAGATTGAAAACACAAATTATTTGTCAATTTAAATCAACATTGATGCTGTGATCTTACCGGAAAAAGATGGGCTTCTGATATTCAATATTTAAGACAAAATAAACATTTTGCCATTGGTACACGAATCGTGTAATGTAATGCGTTTCAGCCCCAGTTCTAGCAAGAGACTTGAGGAACGAGGCTAGATATATTGCACCAAACCAAACAGCGTATGTAGACTGGAATAACCAGACGCTAGAAATTTGCATTCGATTGAGACTGCGAGCTTAATTATTTCGCGGAACATAACTGAGTAAAAACGGAAACCATTGAATGTATATCAGTTTATATACATTTATATTACAGTATTATATGAGTTGCGACCCACTTGTGTCAATTTCTAGGTCCATATGTTAGCGATGTAGCTCCTTTAAAGAAATCATTCTACTACATGTACCAGTACCACAGCTGACACACATTTATAATGATTCAACACTCTTTTCAAGTAGAATTCTGCGATTAAAAACAAACACAACATACATTTGAACTGATCAGCCATTGCGAGACTCAAACATGCGCAAACTGTATGTTTATTTCATCCCTAAATTCTACTTGAAAATGGTGCTGAATTATTATAAATTAAGTCAAGTAAGTACAGTGAAAAATAAAGAATCACGATGAAAAATAGAAGGTTAGGGTTCTAAAACAACCTGAGAACAGAGGTGGGGAAGAGCGGTATTTTACGGTATTTCCATATTGCTGCTACATGTAACGTATAGCCTATAGGGTCGGATGTCAGTGGACATCGTCAGCTCAGAGACAGTTCCTTTAGAAAGGAACTAGGGGCACCCTACCTCCGTCTACTGGCTCTCTAGGCTCTTCGAGAGGGCTACCTCAGTACCTGCAGTAGCCTACGTAGTAATATTAGTTAATTAAAGTTTTACAGTCAAAATCCGTGACAGTACATAAATTGTATCCACTGGTATACACTAAGCACTACCTTTAAAGTATTTGTTGATTGCAGATTCTCCGCTGGATCGAATAGGCCTACTGTTGCAGATTTCACATTTCTCGTCGCCATTTTTATTACCGTCCAGTCAGTCCACTCAACAAGCACATTTACATGGATTTTCCTGCATCATGATTTAGAACAGATCGAAACAGTTCACACAGGCTATCGATTGATTATTTAGGTTATATTTTACAGACTTTTAATTAAATATATATATATATATATATATCGGAAGATAAAAAAATTTCAACAATGAAAGAATGCTGTATCCAATAAAATAAAACTGCATTGCAAGTTGGCAGACAACAAACCTGGCACCGAATGAATTGAAACGAGTCGTTTCCTCCCACCAAGCATTTCCTCTTGAGACGTTTCATCCTACTGTTCGAGTCGGCACGTCGAATTACCCAATACACCTCATAACTAAAAAAAAAAAACACCCAATACCTCCAAAATAACACCCAATAACTCCAAAATGCTGACTTTGGAATCACAGAATAACAATTTAGTTGAATTTATAAAGCGGCTGCATTGTGACAAAATCTGAGTTTCACGCTCACTTGCGTGAAGGGACATAACTCGTGTATATGTGATTTGGAGCCAGATCACCATTAATTTCCCCATTGATAGGGTGGCCCATGTACTCTACAGAAATAAAGTCCACTGCTGATCGTTCGAGACTACCACTGAAGCGTACACATTCGCCGTGCCGAGACCAACTTTCTGACAGTATGATACTATAAATATCCATGGCACGTGCAATTCTCTACAAATCTATCAACTATTACAGCCGTAAAAAATTTATTGTTGACGATTTTGAATAGCAGTGAAATTAAGCTTCTTGGTTATTACAGCAGATTTAGAAATTACGTTCGTTTCATTTTTTAAATCGCTTTATCATTAACTGTACCGTTAAGAGCGGCATCTTTTGGTTTAGTACAAATAATATCTCTGAATCACTCGGGTTAGACAGGAACATGATACTAGCAGTAGTTTCATTTTACTTTTACAAGGTTCTTAAAACGATTGTTGAGCTACCTAACGTGCTTATTTCTAAATTCAATTTCTTGTTCTAGCTTTCTGTTATGTTTCGTAAAAAAGTAGTCTTGATTATCCCGACCTGTCAATCAGACGTAGAATGGTCGATAGACTGGTTAAGCGAGACTGATTTCAAAACAAGGGCACGTAACCTATCTTTTACTCAAAAGTGTCTGGATGTTATGGACGACAATTGGAACCAGTTTTCAGTCTATTATTTGTAGATGATTAATGGTCATAGCTTATTAAGTACAACATGATCGTTTATTTAGTGACTATAATTGTGTGAAACTGATTTGAGGCTTGGCATATATATCAATAATGTGGCGTAATTGTCGAGATATATGGAGATATATGGAGATATTTATTTATGGTGGGTCACCCTACCATTGACTTCAATGTTAATTCTGGCCTCTTTGCCCACCTCCAACTTTTCCCCAAATTTTGTATGAGGTTGACCACCAAAATTTTGAGATACACAAACTCGAAGAAGCATACTAAAAACATGTAACTAGTTGCCGTATGTATCACCGTAGCCAACTAGATAACCCCCTTATCCTTCCGCCCAAAATCATGAATATTTACCAAAGCCTGGCAGAAAATGTTAATTCAAACCCTCTTCGTCCATCATTCTAGACCAAAAAATCAATAAAAATGGGCATACAAAAGGGGAGAAAAGAGACAGAGAGAGAATTGCTATAAATAGACGAACTACAATTTATGAATTTAATGGTGGTCTGCCTCCTATATATGGTTTTATATCTTCATATATCAACAAAATTATTTTCTTTATAGCTTGATATTTATTTTTGAAACATTATTATAACACAGAATAAAAAAATTATTGCAGAAATGGTGACCCTTTAAAGTTATGTACTGTTTTGTATACCGGGTTGCAGCTCAGGTCCATGAGCCTTTTGTTCTAGAATGGAAGATTCTTTCATAATTTTGTCAAAATGTGAATTTTGCAAAAAGATTTAGAGAGTTTCAAACAAGTAACATCAAAAATATTCAAAATATTGGAATATTTTTCAAAAATTGACTTTCTTTTACCTTTTTCTATAAAATGGTCCATTTTTGATCTGTGGTGTGCCTTATCCCGGAGGGGACCCCAAAATGACATGAATGGTGTTGCGCCTTATAATGACAATATATGATTGTCGGGCCGCACGTAATGCATAATGCCGAGTAAGATTGGTTGGGCGCCCAGGACTTGATCAATGGGCGGCCAAAACGGCATGATTGGTGGGGTGCCTCATCGCGTAGGGGCACCCATATTGCTGAGATTGGTGGGCCGCCCAAGACGAGATCGTGGACGCCCATAATATAATTGCCGGGCGCCCATAATGTCGAGTGAGATTGGTTAGACACCCTCGACTGAATTTTGCGCCCAAAACGGCGTGATAATCTTCAAAATTCAAACAAATAGTACTCTAACCCGATTTCGAACTTTTCGTTTTTCTCATAAATTATTATAGGTACGTTAAAGTTGTATTCCTTCCCTCAAATTTTTATAATATCATAATTTGACCGAGAAAGTTCATCCAGTCCTGTCAGTGATGCAGGACGGAGGGCCTAACAAGGACCGTTGTCTAGTCGCTCGGATGGGATGAAAACCCAAGGTCCCGTGTACACATTGGCGTGCACGTAAAAGATCCCTTGGCAGTTGGAATTCGATATAAGAGTAAGCCATAGCGGCACCGCTGTCCGGGCAAAATTTCCCTCATAGCACACTGTGTGGCGTATGCCCGTCTTCATTAGCACAATTTAGGAGCAGAACAGTAGGACGTTAAACCCCATTTCATTTCTTTATAATATCATAATTCAGCCTCAAAATTGAAATCGTCCATGTCAGTTTCGGGTGTAAACCGTTCGCCGTAGACCGTCAAGTGTAGGTACATCGGCGCCTCCAGACGCCCCATCGGTGCCCCTAGAACCTTTTGCCCCCCCTTCAACAATTTGGGGCTAGCTACGGGCCTGAGCTGTGGTTAAAATGAGAGTTTGGGTGTTTCTGCAACAGTTTCTTATGTTTATATTTTTTATAAATTTTCTCAATTAATTTCCATACTTGAGTGTTAATATAAATTATGAATATTATCTTATATCTAGTAGGCAAACTCATCGCCCTATATCACAAAGAATCTAAACAGGCTCGCTAAGTGGGTAAGACGCTGGCTCGGTAGCGTGGACGTCGGGTGTTCGATCCCTACATTGGTCGAGGAAGTTCATCCAGATTTTACGGCGTGGTTCCAATTAAGACGATCATATTGATATCAAAATATAATTTCTAACACCTTCCATTTTCGAGAAATAACCAATTTGTCAACATCACTTTTTACGATTTTTCGCATTTTACTTTCAGTTGATGGGTTCTGGGTTAATTAATTATTGTCTGATTTGTATAAAAGAAAGAAAGGCTCATATGCTCTGTGGTACAAATTCTCAACTTTTTTCACCGATAAAGTTTTCTGTCAACATCAGAAGTGACGTAATTTTGCCCAAAACTTCAATTTTGACGTGTCGAAAGGTCTTTTCCAAAGAAAGTATTAATATTTACAAATCTAAAAGATCAAAATAAATGATCCTACTAAAGCCACTAAAGATGCAAAATGTTTCTTGCTTAGTTTTTTTTTATTTCAGTTTTGTATTTGCGACATTTTGATTTGAAGGTGAAGAAAAGGTGTAAAAATGAGCTATTCACAATGCATTCAGGCATTTTATATTTTAAAATATTTCTTGACAACTTTCATAAACCTGTGACAATGAATGTCAAAATTAATTTGTAATATTAGCAGTTGCCGTGAAATAAGCAATTTTTCATGAGTCAATTTTCACACCATCTTGCCTGTAAAGGAGTTAATAATAGTCAGATTTTCGATTTTTTTTTCACCAAGCGATGCTTAATGACACTTCTGACTGGGTGGAACCAATTTCACATTTTCAATATCACCGGAAATGGCGTCATTTCGGCAAAAACTCTATTTTTAGCCTTCAAAACAAATATACGTGGACGTATATTGTCGTCACCCCTGTCCGCCCGGACTTTCATCAGTCCGTCCGTCCACAATTTGTTTGTGGACATTCTGCAGGTCACAATTCTTATCCGATTATGACGAAACTTGAAATAAAGGTTTATCACCAAAAGATCTCGGTTCATTTCGATATTGGACGATAACTTCGTGGATTATGGCCCCTGGTTGTACGAATAATTACGTTTATAGCTTGTAGACACTCTACAGGTCACAATTTTCATCTGATTTTGATGAAATGCATGTTTATAATCCAAAGATCTTGGTTGCTTTTGATATTTGCGCATATTGGATTGTAACTTCCTGAATTATAGCCACTGATTGTACGAAAAATCGCGTTTTTAGCTTGTGGTTCCTCTAGAGATCACAATTATTATCCGGTTTAAAAAAACGTTCGAATATATCACCGTTACACCATAATGACACTTGAGTTCAAATTTCATGAAAATCGGACCAAAACTGCCGGACAAAATGGCCGCCACTCGTACGCAAATAGTGTACAAATATGGTATATCAAGGTTGTGGACACTCTAGAGGTCATAATTTTGTTCCGATTGTGATGAAACCTCGACATACCTGTTTATAACCCACAGATCTTGGTTCCCTTCGATATTCGCGCATATCGGATCGTAACTTCCTGAATTATGGCCCTTGATTGTACGAAAAATCATATTGTTAGCTAGATATTTGCTTACAATGATCAAATTGAATGAACCTATGGGAACATAGATATCGCAAAATAGTTTCTAACTTGTACGGTTGCAGAGAAGTAGATGATTTTCTACAAGTCGCCTTTCAAGGTTTTTGGTCTGTAAAAGTGTTAATTATTATTCAATTTTTATAAAAAAAAAATTACCACGTGATGCCTTATGCCATTTATGATTTCATCGATCTAATTTAACATTTTCATTATCACCGGAAGTAATGTCATTTTGGCATAAACTGTATTTTTAGCCTTCAAAACAAATATTTCTTTGAAGTGAGTTATATTTATTATTCGTTTAAAATTATATTTGATTCCAATAGACATATAGACTGCATTAATACGATCACACAGATTTTCAAAAATTGCTTCTAGCATCTTCCCTTGTCGACAAATAACCAATTTTGTCAGGATCACTTTTTAAGATTTTCTTCATATTTTAATTTTCCATTAGAAAGTCTCATCAGCTAACTTAGCGATAAGTTAGTAACAAATTTTGTCAGTGTCACTTTTTGAAACATGTAA